GCACATCCAAACGCAAATGCCAAGTGCACTGCTCAAGGTTCTTGCTTGGTTGCGGGAGAGGTGTGGCAGGAGGGCTTAACTCCAGTCATCTCTATCATCGGCTTTGGCCATCCAAGGGGAGCTTGTGGAACTAGGCCCGGCACCTGCTCCAACCTCATCCGAAAACAATCCGACAGCAGACTGTGGTCTCTTCGTGTCACTCCTTGGACACTCCTGTACAGCGTCTCTTCTGTCTTATGCGTCTGGGTCAAGGCATGGGCGTAGAGAGTCCAGCAAGTCGCTCCAAGGCCTCATCGTCCACCTTATGACCTCAGATATCGCACATGACCTTATGAACAGTCCCTAGTAGCTGTACTTGTTCCTAGTAGCGATGCCAGGAGCCCCTAGTAGCGCCCGATCACTCCTACGTTTGTAACCAGGAGTTGGAATAAAGTGGTTCTCAGAATTCTCCTCAGCATGTTGGAGCACTTCAGTTTTGCCTTCTTCTACCGATGAACTTCCAAACCCAGGGATCTGACAGCCATGGATGGTCAAAGAAGCCAATGCTCGTAGAGAACCTTCAGGATGGCCTGATAGCAAAGACATGCAAAGACATGCAAAGACGCACTAGCATCACTAGCCTCACTAGCCCACACCTGGCTCGTTCTTTTCGCCCCATTTTCTAGACACGTTTTTCCGCCAATTCCATTCTGAGTGGGGGACCGACGCGGAGGGAAGAGATCACCTCTTCCAAAGTCAAAGGTGCAGCCTCAGATCTTGGAAGACCGTGCGGTGTGACGATCGAACATAGTGAACATAGTGCGATCCGATCTGCCGAGGATCAGACGTAGTCAAGGCACAAGGACTGCAAATGCAAGTTGGAAATGGCCTCATCAACATCAGGCAAACACCTTTTAAGGTTCTTGAGTTCTTGCCACTGATTGAAGCCGCGCTTTTCGTGCGCCCTGCTTGTGGAACCCAAAGAAGCCAAGACTGAGAGTGAAAGGATTTGATTGATTGAGCACGTGCTTGGTGTGTCTCCACATGCAATCTCGCATAATATGCACCTGAATCAATGCTGGGGCGGGCACCTGCAACCACGAGGTGGCTCTCGCAGGATCCGAGCGTGCGTGCAGCGCCACGTGCAAGTGGAGAAGCCCCGATGTAGTAGATACCTGGGCGAAGACTCCGCGAAATGTATCAGACATATTATTCAGCCATATCAAATCTACAAAGCGAGACGGCATGGGCCATGCAACTTACAACTTGCAACCTAATTAACATGATCATTTGCGCCCATAGCAATGTACAAAGGGGCAGCCTGAGAAGAGAATGCCACCAATGGCATCAAGAGGGTGGCGGTTGCATGAGGCCTCTGGCTGGATGAAACTTAACAATTCAGACTCTTCTTCAAAGCCAAGGCTGCTGGCGGAACAATTGCGTTCAACAGCTGTTAGCAATTGACCCACCCTCGTGGCCAAATCCTCTGAGCTCGTAGCGCTACATGACGAAGCACAAGCCTTTGTAGGTGGGGTACCTGGATTCTTTTCATTAAGTTTTGGCACGTCATGAGAAAGAAGGTTGATCAAGACTCATTTCAAAAGGCCTGCGTCATGAAGCCCTCCAGAATGCTGTCATCCCAATCAACCGGTGCCAAGTCCATATCCTGTCCAGCAGGGCGCAACAAAACTCTCAAAGTTTCGCTTTTACAACGATTCAGCGCGAAGTTCGCGCGAAGCTTAAAGGGCACGCTAGTGCAATCATACAGTAAAACAATGTAAAACATCAGGTCATGAAGAATGGCCAATGAAGGCCACCTGCATTGCATGGTGTCTGCGATTGAAGGCGTCGTTGCTTAAAGCAAAGCCTTGTGAACTGAACTCGGCAGCCATTTCACTCGCTCGGTCCTCAATGGGACAACCTTGTGCGATGTCACTTGGGTCCGCTGCCTCGCAAATTCCACCAAATGCAGTCTCCAAATGTATGGCCCCCCGTGCCGCAGCCGTGCTCAAGTCATAACCAGCCGAGTTCTCGACATCTGCTTGAAATTGGTAGAGCTGCACACTCAGGCCTCAAGGCACCACCACTGGCACCGTACCCCATGCCACGAACGAATCTAAGACGCCTAAGACCACTGCTACGAACCACGAAGCAACATGAAGCAACTATGCGACTGGCGCTGAAGTCGTGGACAGCACCTTGAAAAGAAACACATGTTCACATGTGTTCGAGAAAGCAAGTCCTTTGGGAAGAATGAACACCTAAGCCCTCTAAGCCCTGAGCGCGGCAATGGTGCAGGATCCCCCAAAGATTCGCACCGCCACAGCACCTAGGCTCTTTCGGTCAATAGGCTCGAGGCGTCGTCTCTTTCTCCTTTGGGGGTCGTCTGGCCGGGAAAAAAACCCACCGGGACGTCGCGACGATCACGTTTTGGATCCTCACCCAAATCCAGGGTCAACAAGCGTCGTCCCAGGCAGGCCAATGTTCGCACCTTGGAGGTGCGGATTTCTCGGAACCGGCGGAACTTCGAATCCAGCGGGCTATGCTATATCTGCTTTCCATTCGGCCAAATCGAATCAAAAACAACCACTGAACGACAATGAGCTGATTGTACAAGGTTTGAAGAATTTTGCGGCGCCCAAAAGAAACTCAGCTGGAGGCACCTCAAAGAGGATTCGTTCCGACAGCACGTCCGGGCGGAAGCTCATGACCAGGTGCTGAAGCCGTGGACAATACTTGGCCAGTCCTTGGACGGAAGACAACATGGGATACCGAGCCTTAAAGGGCCTAGCCAGCAAGAGATGGAGGGATGGATTGTTGGGAGAATTCTTTGCAACGTCTAGCAGGGCCTAAGTGCAGCCAGAAAGCGGACCGGTTTTCAAACTGCAACCGCGTGCACAACAGTTGCCCCAGCACAAACACTTTGGATTCCTTCTGCCGCATCACTCACTCATCCATCCGATCTCTGAGCAGCAGTCGGCTGAAGATTCGTTGGGGATCTGGAAAGCTGCCACCAAAGGATGACGCGTCCACCTGGATGCGCAAGACCCGGTGGACCATGCAATGGCTTTGGGAGTGCTGGAGCTGTGGCTTTTGTGGCCCAGTGGCTGCTTCTTCTCCAGCACTCCCAAGTAGGTACATGGATTCTTTAAAGTGATTCGTCAGTTGGCATGACTAGCTGCCAAAAAGAGTCTATCAAGCTAGGTATTGTTCCTGCAGTTTGGACCAAATTGAAATTGATATTGGTGCCTCCAAGCATTCCAATAAACGCATTCCACACACAAGGCGTAGCAGCTGCCTCAGGTTTTTGCAGGAAGCGTGCGACACTGACAGACTTCTGGCCTAGCTGGAAAAAAACATCAGTGAAAATGCGCATCTCAGTTTAATGCTGTGAAGCAACAGTTGAACAGTCTTTGGACATCATTTGGGTTGCTTTGGATCGACCAGGTGAACCTACTAGTGATGGCCTCCAACCTAGAAACTTTCAGAAACTCTTGGTGCATTTTTGTTCCTTCCCGTCTTAGTGCCCTGCTTCTCCTCAAAATGCGCAGTTTCACGAACTGATAACTGTCTCACCTGGAAAGACAAGCGTCACAACCTGTCCAACCTGTCACAGTGTCAAATCCTGCGTTGCGGCTCATCGAGTTGGACTCTAAGCCATAGGCATTTCTGCAATGTTGACCAATGAAACGAAGGCAATCGCTTTGCCACTGCAATGGGATCCGAACCTGGCTTGGCTTCTCACACACCACTTGGGGATTTGTTAATCAAAGGTGGTCAGTGGTCGTCATTGAACCAAACATGGCTTCTTCTGAAGTGTGTAGTGCTGTGGGAGGAAACATGTCCACAGCACCCAGCTCAAAGTGACCCGCGGTTGCGGGTGCGCAGCCTCAACGGATCGTAAGCACAACGATGAGCCTTTCTTGAACCCGTTTTGTTCTTCCTGCATCTTGCCTCCCCCGTCTTTCTGCCCAAACCGAGTGAGGCACCCAATGTTCAAACGCATTGGCTGTGAGATGGTGACAAGCTCCTGGCATGAACTGGAATCCGTGTCCGCCATCAAGCACCAAAATTCGGTGGCGCGGCGAAAGGCGCACATTGGCACCCATGAGAGCATTGAAAACCTAGCGCATTTGGCAGCACATGACAGCATGTAACATGGATAACACGGGCGTTTTTTCATGCACACGCTTGAACCAAAGCGATTTGACTTTGGCCCACCGCAACTTTAACATTGGTGCCCTCGCTTCTGACCGCTATAGCCCAGCTCCCCACACATTAACCGCAATGAAGAGCTCCGCATCTGCCACGTCGGTCCAGCACAAAGCTGCCTTTAAACAATCAGAAACACAAAACACACTCATCTATGAACATCAGTCGCTGGCAACCTCTTCGCCTGGGTGCAAACCCACACATCAAACTGCTCGCGGCCAGCCTGCACAATCTCTTCCCAAACCTGGGAACTGGATTGACCACGCGTATCCTGACATACCAGGTCACACTCAGCACAACTACAGCATCAATGCTACTGTTTTCCTCCCTGCCTTGGGAGCCAACTCATCACGCAACGTGACCTGGGAGGCTTGTCTCGCAGCATCCGACAAGGCCTGCCAAGGTCGGCAACCAATGCTCTGCAGTCTTATCGTGTTGCTTGTGTATTACTGAAGCTGTTCCAATCCCACACATTGCTGTAGCATGTAGCTGCAACGTCCTGTTCACATGACCTCGCCTGCAACGGCGTGGCCAAATCGGGGCTGCCCAGCCTCCATTCCATAGCCTGCTATCGCCAGATGTACCCCGCCTCCACCCTGTCAAGTATCTCCTTGATTCTGTGTTGAGTTGGGGTGATGGTGATGAGGAGGGGGGAAAAAGAACAAGATAAACCCAAGACAATCCAAGATTTCGGAGCATATCTTTCTTGGAGCCTTCCGAGCCAAGAAATGGTTGCAGCGATGTGCAATCTAGACCAAATCGATGGAGATAGAAGGTTCTGAAGCTTTTTTGACCTTCCTCTTCCCCATTGGCCTTTTCAGCGCCCCTCTTGTCAACCTCACCGAATCCTATACAAGCAGCCACTGCAGCAACATGGTCTGCACGCTGGCTCTCACTTGGTCAGAATGGTGTGCTTGGTCTGCTTCCTGCGGGAAAAGCGGCACAAACCTTATTGATGAAAGGGCTCCGGATGATGCTGATAGTGTATTGTTTACAATGACGCATCATTGGCATTATTGCCGAACTCTGAAGAGTCTGCCTGTGGTTGATACTCCAGTCAATTGGTTGGCTTGCCCATGTGTCCAAACACATTCATTCTTTAAAAGGAATATTAGGTTTGGAGGCCATCGCTACTAGGTTTCCAGGCCATGGATACAGAAACAGTTGCAAACTCTAATTCGCCTCCTACCCGTCTGATCACGCCACGGCCCGTGTTGTTCTGGAGGCCCGGATTCCTGTCGAGTTTGGAATGGGACGTCATCGTTTTGCAGAGGCTTTTAGCCATCAAATGCCATCAGCATTCGCCTTCCAAAGGCAGAGGGCGTCGAATGTGTCGAAGCTCTATGTTGAAGCTCTCCAACGAATGCCTCCGGTGCAGGGAGAGATGACACCACATTCCTCTGCTTAAGAATTCCAATCGCCTTGGCTCACAGAGTGAGTGCCAAAGTTGCAGATGGCACTTTTGCCTGCAAAGCTCTTGCACCAAGCACGTTTCAAAGAAGAATCCACCCTCTACATCACGTTTTGGACCTCCAAGGAGTAGAACACGGATGCTGGAAATGCAACCTTTCATGGTGCCCAAGCTCTGTGCTAAAGCACAGTCACAGCAGTCACCTCTTCGCCCAAGTGTTCGACCATGGTGCCGGACGTCAGTTGCAGGGCCACCTGCAAGTGAGCAAGTGCCTTGTTCTTCTCTAGCAGCCAGCGGCCTGTTCATTCGTCTTCTGTTCTTCTAGGTAGTAAGGGGATGCAACGAGTAGTTAGCTTGGAGGCCATGGCTACTAGGGTGGAGGCCCGTCCGACCTTCTGCCCGAAGAGGTGTCTTGCTATGGGGTCTGCAGCCTGAGTTCCGGTGTCCCTGAAGTCCCGGAAGCTCAACCAAGCTCAGAGGGCCGGACAGCGGCGACTTCCACCTGCAACCTACGAAGCACTCATTGTGAACTCAGATCTCCAGCAATCAGGAGCTCCAACTAGACATTACACCGATACTGACCTGGGATCGTGTAGCCAAAGCTTGATGTCTCCCGCCAGTACCTGTGCTCAACCGAAACGTTTCTGCTGGGTATCCAAGGTACTCAGCGCACGTGAAAGCCGCTGTTGGCTGCCAGCACGGAAGGCCGATATCGGAGGCCCTGCCTGAAGTGCAGTACTGTAAAGGCTGGAGTCTCATCAGCTTCACACTCTTCTTAGCTCAGTGCACAAAGTTTTCGGGGAGAACGACCACAGAGACAGAACCTGCCTCCCCAGGTGTCCTCATCTACACCAAAGGACTTACCGAAAGAACCAGGGCATCGCTACTAGTAACAAAGGCATTACTACTAATTAGTAGCTAGAAGCTAGCAGCAAGGTGCACTAGTAGTCTGAGGATGCTTGCCGAAAGCAAGACCAAAAAGACAAAGTGCCAGAAGATCGAATCCACGAGGCCTCGGGTGAATTTCAACATGGACGCGCTGCGTGCTTGGGGGTTATGCACTGGTCCTGGTCCTAATTGTCTAAAATACATAAACTATCATTAGGCTTGGACCACTTGATCTGGCGGTCGAAATCGACGAAGGTCACCTTGCTGGGACAGAATGTCGCACAGCTTGAGGTCAGAATTCATAGGAGAAACTCATGAGAGACCTTTGGAGAGATTGTCTGCACACAGAAGGGGATACAAAAGGCACCCCGGCTCTGGCCTTCATGAAGCCAGTCAAAGCTCAAGTCGATGGAAGCGTCCTATCACGGCGCACCGATTTGGCGTGGAAACACGTCTCCCGGCATCACGTGAACTCATTGACCCTGCTTCCTAAGGTCATGACCCTGCTGTCCTTGCGAGTGACTTGGCTTCCAAAGAGGAGCTCCTACTTACACGTGTGGAAGCTCATGTTTCTGGCTGCCATGAAATGGCGATGATGCATTTGACCTTTCCACGTAACAATAAGCTAGTAGAAACAATGTTCGCTACTAGTAACAAGTGCATCGCTACTAGTAACAAGTGCCTTACTAGTAGTAACAAGGTTTGCTACTAGGAACATCTGACACAAAACATCCACAAACTCTTCCAGGACGAGAAACCATCGTCCGAAACTCCGCGGCAGCTGCATCAAACCTGCCATTTCTCAAGCGCCGAATAGAGCTGAAAAAGCCAAGCCAAGCACCTCAAGTCCTGGTCGACAGTGATGGTGAGAATCTTCTCTGTCTTCTTTTGCTGCACCAACTCTGCTTTGAGGTTGAAGGCTACACTGCCAGGTCATGCGATGTGTTTCAGGATATGCACAAAAAGAACTCAGATGAGCAGCACCTCCCTAATGACTCTAATGCCTCACAGTCACCTCCCTCGTAGCGATGGCCTCCAACCTAATAGCAATGGCCTCCCTTCCTAGTACCACAAATAGAAGTGCAAGGCCTGATACGCAAATCTTTTCCTGCATGTGGGGGCACATGATGCTGGAGCCTTGGAGACCACAAGAAACAAACCGGCGCAGCTGCTGCAAAACAAAACGCATTGAGGGCGGAACCATGAAGGGAAGATCAACATCTCTCCAGCTGTTAGGTCCTCGATTGGAGGCAAGGACCGAACAACTGATGAGTTTCCATCAGGTATTGGTTTTTGGTTGACTCTTTGTAGACTCTTTGTAGACATAACATTAGTTGGCTCGTGGAAGGGAGAAAGCTATAGGATACTAAGGAAAAGGACCGGCCATGACTCCTTTCCAATCATGTTGATGACGCTGGTTTTTCTGTGTCTTTGAGCAACAACCCAAGAAGGCCTTGAAGGCTGCGCCGTTCACAGAATCACCCAAGAGGCTGCCTGAGTTCGTACACTTGAAAGCTCAGCTTCGTGTCTTCAGCCAAGCTTTTGACAGTTCTCGTTCCACTCCTCTTGGCCTTAAACGAATCACAAGATCAAGTGTGAAACAGCGGTTGCTTGGACCCTACTTGCTACAGGAACCGTTTTCTGCTAACAAGAATACGCTTTCTGGCGAGCAATGAGAAAGTCACCGAGCGCAAAAAGCGAGCAATTGGCGACGACATCCAATGTCAAAGCTGGAAAGTGAGGTCATGTGGGTGCTCTCCGAGGACCATATTTGGGGGGGAACGCAGCATAAGTGCATAATTTGTGGCTATTGCTCGAAGCTGGAGGTGCGCCACCAACTTCTACGAAACTAGGTGCGCAGCCAAATGAATCACAGCTTTGCGAAGAACACTGAGAAGGGATGGCTCGTGGATCTGTGAAGCAAAGTGTGGCACCTGCGTTCTGGTGAATAAGCAACAAAAAAGCAATGGAAAAAGAAATTCGTAACGCATACAGGAGAGAGGTAGGATGTGTAGCAGAAGATATGGAAAACACTGACCTGCGACCTTGGCAGGCACATGCCCAGCACCAAGTCTAGTTGTGGCTTTTCTTTCCTGGCCTTGAGGCAAGTCGGTCTCAATGTACAGGACGCCTGAGACCAAGCCGGGGTGCATGTGCGCCTCAAAATGCCAAATACACACGGCGCATGGCTGTTTTACTTTGACAAGCTCGGCTCCCAACGACATTGCTGTCCCCATGTTTGTTCACCTGGGTCTTTGACGAAGATGTAGCATTGCAATTTGAAACGGGCTCACCCCAGTCTGGCCCTTATCCAAGTTTCCAGCATTCGCCCAGGCACCAAGCAAGCTGAGCTTCACTTCCTGAAGCCACATGCACATGCCTAAGGCTTAAGGGCCATTGTGCCATCAGAACACCAGTGTCTCCGGATGGAAACCACCGGCATCCGCTGGGCGAATGTCCCTCTCAGGAGCCGTCGCCGCGCAACCCTGCTCGCGCACGGCGGTCAACACGGCGAATGTAGTCACCTATGCATTCACGACGCACCCTATGCATTCATGCTTTGGAAGTCACCCTTCGAAGTTCTAGTCACCTATTCTAGTCTTCACTTCAATCAGCTGGGCCTCCAATCACCCTGGCTCAATGAAGTCCCTCAAGAATGTTGACACTTAAGTCCACGACTTCCCGCGGAGAAGAAGGCTGATCGGAGTCTCGTAGCGGCGGGTGTCGTCAAGGCATCCAGCAAGGCCTCGATGGAGCAACAAGAACGCTAGGAGAAAGAAGGGGAGAAGGGAAGAAGTTCTGACCAAAGAATGAATCATCTCAATACAATACAGAATACTACGGGGTCTTACTCCTTTGTCCTTTCAACATAGCAGTGTTTCTTTTGCAAGCGAAACGGTGCAGCAAAAGCACCCGGTGAGACCAACCCCCGGTGTCTACAAAAGCAACTCAGTCCACAGCTCCGGAATGCCAACCTGCAGAATACTTCAATGGCTGGTTTGTTGAGGGACGAGAAAACCAAAGAAAAATCGACAAACTTAAACAAGAAAGGAACAAAGAAAAGGTCTAAAGGTCTTTAAAGAAGAACATGCTTAAAAAGACAAGACCAGTCGCTTACAAAAAGGGTTCCTGTAAACATCACGCAACTGCCTTCGGCATTTGCGACCTTTCTTTTGCATTTGCTACTTGATCTTCTCTCTAATTAACTCAGCCGGACTGAGACTGACCCGGACTCAGATGATCCATGATCAATCCATGTGTCACATGCCTCCGCGATTGGACTTTCGCACTCCAGGGCCTTGGTGAAGAAGCCAAGCGGCCTCTCTGGACAGTCTGCATGGTGTTTTTCAGGGAAGTCTCTCTTCCTTCCGCTGTAGCGCTCACCACTGAGATGCCCTGGCGTGTCTTGGCCAGCTCACACAACACCTGAGTCAAAGTTTGCGTCACTGTCTTTGGGACGTGGTACCTGACAACCGCGTAGCGCAAAGGAAAAACTCAATGATCGGGATTGCTTCTTTGTTTCTTCTGCTTGGTGATGCCCGGGCCCTTCTTGATTGTCACAGGCTCCAAGTGCATCTCGCCTCGCGACGGGCACCTCCCAGAAGGACTGCACCTGGCACAGTGGACAATTAGTGGACATGCCGGAGGACATCTTTTTGGGGTCTAGATGCGTAGAGTGACATCCTGGTGGCCTACAGGCTGCTCATTGCTACTAGGTTGGAGGCCATCGCTGGTAGGTTGGAAGCTCTGAAACGCCTCAGAAGCATTGGAGTTGCAAAGCGGTGGAACCATCGCTGGAGGTCACATCTTGGCAGCTTCGGGAGCTCCTTGAGCCGGTCCTTTCTTTCGCAACCAGTGCGCCATCTTACACAAGAGCCTTGCAGTTCCAGCACTACAGGTCAGGGGATGAACCAGAAAGCGATTCACCTTGGGTCTATCATCTATCCTACCAGTAGCTGTGGATGATGATGCTTAGTAAAGGCCTTCTTCAAAAATAGTGATGCTTAGCTTGTTTACTGAACCAGGTAAGAACGGACACACCCAAGATTCACCTCTCATTTTGCATAGCCATGTGAAGACATGTCACTTTGGACCTCTGAAGTTGGACTCCAATCGAACATCGCGGTGCGTTCACTGTCCCGATCGGACAAGAGATGCATCACTTCGACCCGGCCAAAGCCCAGGTCTTCCTGAGTCAGACACGAAGAAGTCGGCCTTTGCATCTTGACAACGACCACAGTTTCACTGAATGCACTGAAATGATCATTTGGTTGTGCTGCACCAACCAACTCACTATGTACACCATTTTGCACCTCATTTGGATGACTCATGAAGCTACTAGTAGCAAGATGCCTTACCACTAGTAGCTTGTTACTACTAGTAAGGCATCTTGCTACGAGTAGCGTCCTTGCTACTTGTGGCGTCCTTGCTACTTGTTACTAGTAGCTTCTTGCTCCTAGTACAGTAGTAAGGCCAGGAGCCCCCAGTAGCGTCCTTGCTCCTAGTAGCGATGCACCTTGTTACTAGTAGCGTCTTGGAAACACACTTCGCCAAGCTTCGATGTGTTTCACCACGTCTCGCAGCCATTTCTTCACCGCGCCCGGGCGCCGCCCGCAGCGGAGGCGCAAGACGGCGGTGCCGCGCGGTGCCAGGATGGGCTCAGGTGCGTCCAGCAACATTTGGATGAAGTCGTGAAGAGCCACCACTGCCTCCTTCTCCTTTTCGTTTGCTGAACATGCTTGAAAGATGTTTGTGGCACATGTATCGTATGTTTTTGGCAGCTGAGAGAGCTTGAAGACCTTCAGGTCGAACAAGAAACCAAAGTCTTCCAGAAGGACTGAAAGTGATCCAACCAAAGAATTCCGGAATGAGCATCTTGAGAACTGGTGTCTTATATATAATATATATAAATATGTGTGTGTGGGACCACAACATATACATAACAACGAGTCTTGACCGCCCAGTGGCTGTAGTGCTCAGATCCACCAAGAGCAAGTCTGCACGTGCACCTTGCTGCCCATCCGTCAAGCCATGCCAAAGACCTCGCACGGCATCCACCTTCACATCAGAAGGACTCATGGTCCTTCGTGACCATCCTGGATTGCAAAGTCTTTTTCAAGAAGAGAAACACCCTCCGTGAAAGCTGTGAAGGCATCTTCAGCGTCTTGACGCCGCCCCAACCCTTACTTCAGCTCCAATGACATCGCGAAGCAAACCTGCCAATCATCGAAATTCCTTTCATGAAGCCAAAATTGGTTGATTAAGCTTGATTCATTATGTTCGATTTCAGCCGTTCCGCTCCCTGTCCTGAGCCCTGCTCACAGGTGATGACTACCACAGGTCTGCTCTCGTTCACGCCACTCAGCCACTCCTTCACGCCCGGCCGCACCAGATCGGTCCAAAGGGCCGTGGCCACGAGGTGCTGAAAGCGCCGTGGCCAACGGCACAGCACCTCGTCGCTACTCGTAACAAGTGCATCGCTACTAGGAACAAGTGCCTTACTAGTTGTAACAAATTAGAATTAAAGTAGATTATAAAGAATTAAATTATATTAAATTCAAAGCACCTCGTCGAATCGTTGGAAGACACGAAGATCTTGGGATTGACATGCCTCTGACCAGGCGGAAGGATCCAGAGTCTCACGTGGAACAATGGAATAGGTCAGTTGGTCACTGGAGGCCAAGACGCTCAGCACATGGGTGAAATGAGTCGGAGAAAGGAATTTGGGAGAGAACGACTCGCAAATCACCTTCTCCAATGACCGCGGCTTCGCAGCCACTCTCAGAGTCGCCGTGCTCTTTTCTGTGGAGAGCTCCTCCAAGATCTCTGTCACCTCCTTGACGAGGCTGCACATATCACATCCGCTGCAGTCAGTCAGAGGCAGAAACCGCGTAACAACTCTCTGAAGCAGCACATCTTTGCAAAGCTTCTGCACCAGCTGCTGAAGTCTTGGACGATCAGTTGCAGTAAGGAACAACGAGTTTTTTTAGTACAGTCCCGTCGATGGGTGACTCCGTCATCACGGATATCAACGGCAAGTCACCGCAAGCTTTCATGGTGAGCAAGTATGCCCCCAAGCGCGTCGTCAAGCTAGGACTGGCCGTCGGATCCAATTCCAGCAAACATGATACTCCCAGATCCGCTTTGGTTGGTCCACTTGGCAAGGGGAAAGAGCTGGTTGATGTCATAGGTGCTGCAAGTAGGAGGACATTATCAGGTGACGTGTCTGGGTGGCAATACTCCACAGCAACCACCTTAAATCCATGGGATTCCAATCGAGACAGTCGAGCTTCGTCGATGATGCGACAAGCCTTTCGACCAAGCTCTTGAATCTCCTCCTCCGTCTTCGACTCCCGAAGACGCCACCTCGTACACGCATTGGGTCCCCCTCGTGCCAAACGAATGGTGTCAACTAGAAGGTCAAATGCATGAGCTTCCCCGGGAAAAGAGGCCTCTTGAAGCCACTTCTGGGAATCTGGACAAAGATGCTCCCACCTCATTGTGACGTAGCAGCAAGGAGCCAAACACAGGAGGCCCAGGCTTGATCCGAGCTTGATCGCCAAGTCAATCGCTGCGTCCGAGCCATGCCCACAGAGATGTTTCGCCAGCAGCAACGTCTTTTTGGCACCAAGCAACTCAGGCAGCTGATCCTCATTGAGGCTTGCAATCTCCGTTCGAATCCGGTGGAAGCTACAAGCAACTTCAGCTTCAGTGAGATCATGGTGTGTATCAAAGGCATCGGTGTTGCCTCGACGATCAACAGCTACCAGTGGACAACTGCTCGCCGAGCTCAGCGTCTGACCTAAAATCCCTTGCCCAGCACCAAGTTCAATCACTAAATCAGGAGATATGCAGGACAAACAATGTGAAGCAATGGCTTCAATTTGCACCCGGTGTTTCAATGCTTTTGCCTCCTGGAAGGTGTGGCGCTGGCTTCGACGGATGACAGCATCAAGTGCATTACTCACAGAATCTGGTACCAAAGTAGGCTTCATTGCTTGTAGGTCTCGCACCCCACATTGGCGTAGCCATGGCAGCACCGTCTCAATGTACTCTTCTCGTCTTGGCTTCTCTGTCTCATGCGCCATGGCACGGCTCTCAATGAATCTAAGTCATTGCGAAAGAAGTGACGTACAAATCGAACAACAAACATCTCCACTGGTGCACATCCGAAGTGCGAAAAGCTTCTGTCACGGTTTAGACTTGGAATTTCAATAACCATTTAGCCTTGTTTTCTTTCCTTGGTGTTCGCAGCCTGGTCTAGTGCATGTTTCAGCTTCAGAACCTACAAACAAGCGGCATCGGTCAAACGTCAATGTCACGAGTCATGAGTCATGACTTTCTAATCTTCCTATATCTTCCTACCGATCCACTGCAACACAATGCAAATGCAACAATTTCAGAGCGCTCCACACGCGCCCGCACTGCGCGCGGCGGTCGCGGCCGTGCCCTTTTTTTGCATTGGCCATGAGACATACATTCGCCACAGATCGGTCGAGACTCGAGACATGGCGAAGGTACCAACAGGACGCTACTAGGGGCTCCTGGCCTTACTACTAGGAGCAAGAAGCTACTAGGAGCAAGAAGGTACCAAGAATGGTCGAGAACATTAGCCTTGGTCCGGTCGACCCGCTTTGCGGGTCCGTGGACGGTGCACAGAGTATTCATCGAAGCGCTCCTCCAAATCGAGATCGATCCGATCGATGCGCCGCCCACGTGCTGGTGAAGGCTCCAAAGACTGAACCTGTCTGGGATCTAAATGATACAAAGGCCCCACCGTACCAGGCCGACGCTCCTTTGCATGTCCTTTCAGATTGAAAGGCTCTCGATTGCGCAATCGACTTGGCGACGGCCACTCTCGATGCACAAGACTTGCTCTGCCGTCGTCCAGTGGAAGGGGCGACATCTCAGGCCGCCAGGCGACCGGCGCCTTCCGTGCCTCGCGACGGTCCCGTGCCGCCTGAGCCGCCTGAGCCGGCGCCTCGCGACGGTCGCGCGGCAGCGGGGACTGGTCGGCTCGCTCATCGGAGCGGAGCATCTCCATGACGAAGCTCTCCACCTTTCGGGTTGTTCAAACCGCTTATATAAGCAGGCACAGCTCTGCGCCAAAGAAACACACAAGGACAGTCTGTCTGAGATTCACGGGGTTTGAATGGGTTCGAGGTCCAACGTTCCCAGTATCACAGTATTCACAACCTCCCCACACACAAAATGCAAAAATATGGTCGCCATAAAAAGCGGCTCCGCCTCAGCTACCAGTTGCTGAACTGTATCCACTGACAGCCTCTCCCGTAAGCGTCGCACCAAGTCGGATTGCGCACAGCCCTGCCGTTGATTGAGGAGCTCGGCCAGGCGCAGGAGCTGTTGACGCGAAGGAGTCAAGAGTTCTTGGAGATTCTGCAGTTTCAGCTGCGCATTGCGATGCTCTCCTCGGTTTTACTTTCAAATCTTTCAACCCGCAAGGAGATATATGATACATATGACACAGTGTGTGTGAAAATATTACATGTGTGCACGCTTTGGATATGCATTTTATACTCTAGCTAGTGTATCTCTTCTGTGTATACAAGTGCACACACACGCACGTATACAATCAACCCTCAGCCAAAAAAAAGGAATGGGCCTCGTGCTTGCCCCGGTACCCAACAATCTAGTAAAGAAACCCGCATCCCCGAAAACACCTTTGTTTCTTCAACCATGCATGGAGAGTTTTGCTCCTAGTGATTAGTAAGGCCAGGAGCCCCTAGTAGCGTTCACCTGTGTATCAATTTCACCTTCCAAGTCTCTTGTTTCACCTTCCCAAGCCACCTGCAATGCTTCACTCACCACTGTGGCCTTGCGGCTCTCGTGCGCCCGAACATCCTCCGAAGGTGTAGGCGTCTCTAAGGGTTTCATCTCCAGCTGCTGGCGGAGCCACTCGTTGTGCCTGTTGACCTCTTCCAGTTCTGCCTGGTCCTCCTGCTGGGCGGCCACCTCAGGGTTTTCGGTGATGTATCAGGATGGGCGACACCAAACAAACTCACGAGAAATGAGTGTTTTCATGCGTTTCCTCAGCCAAGCCAGAGCTAAACGACTGCATAGACTGCATAAAGGTCAAAAACATTTTGTAGTTTAAATTCAATCAATCTCGCAGTAGCATCGGCGGATTGCCAGTCATGTTCCCAAAAGTGGAGGAACATTAATATCCAACGGCTGTTGGACCACGTTGGACCGACACTGCCCTACCTCCGCTTGAAGCCACGCGATGACTTTGGAGGAATTGGCCAGCTCTTGCGCAACGTTCATCGCCTTCTTTTCGATTTCTCCACTTCGAGCTCGACTCTCTTCCAAGCGTGCTGCTAACTTGCTCTCTGCCCATCGCATCTTCTCACACTGCTGCAACTCTGCCTCCAAGTCTTTCAATGGCTCCGAGGTTTCCTGCAGGGCTTGTAACCTCTTCCTCTCTTCTGCTTCTTTCTCTCGAAGGTCCTCAGCTTTCAAAGCTTCCCGTTTTTGCCGCTCCAGGCGCCTCTGCAACTCCCGCACCACTCGTCCATCGCGCTCTGCCTCTCGCGCCGAGGCTCTCAACGCGCTAGCTGCAGCAGCCTCGGCCTCTGTCGTGCCACCCCGCAGCCGCGCTGCCAAGGTCTTGGCCTTAAACCACCAAGCCCCCCACACGACCTAAAGGTTTTTACTTGGTGTTCTGCCATCTTCCACCTCTTGCATTGCCGGATGTTCTCTTGCGGTTGGCTAGTCCCGAGTACTTATTTAAAAACCACAATGTCCGAAACTCTAAATACGGCTTATATTGTTTAATTACCACCCTTTCAAACCGCTACTAAACTACCAACATGGTCGAATTTTTGGATGATGTTTTTAAATTAGGTTCAAAAAAACAACAATATTTTTTTAGATGAAAAGGAAAAACAGCCTTCGATCTGGAGGGTTTTTCTTGAATTTTTGATACGAGTTTAAAAAAGGAATTCTATATAAAGTTTTCCTGGTTGACTTTTTGGTTTTGAAGCTCTTGCCAGGTGACCTCACTTCGGCAACCCCTATTTCAGGGACCCCCTAATCAAAAACATATGCGGCCGAGGTTTCTTTATTGGGGGGGTCCCCGTGTTTTGATAGGTGGACGGTGGACAAGATTACCTCCATCCCGCCCACTGCTGACAAATGCTAACGAGCATGTTCAAACAAACCTTAGGCCTTGGCTGTCGCCCAGCGCTGCTCTGCCGCCGTGGCCCGCTGCGCCACAGCACTCAGCGCAGTCTCCTGGCCAAAGGCACGTTCTTCCGCCTGACGCCGCTCGGCTTGGAGTTGCTCCTCCGTGTCCTGGGCCACTTGCCGCAAAGCTTTCTCTGAGGCCTCCAAATCCCCGAGGCGCTGCAAGAGTGTTCGACGCTCATGTTGAAGCCGGTTCTTTTGCTGCTCGGCAGCGCTCGCCGACCATTCCAAGGAGGCCGTCTCTGTGCGCAGCTTTGCCACCAGCGCGGCACCTTCACGAGTGCGTTGCTCCAATGTGCCACCTTCGCTGGCCAAAGCTGCTAGCTCTGGAGAGGCTGGAGGCAACCGATGCAACCTGCGAAATATGGGGCAAGAAAAGCATTCAGGTCAACCAACATACCGTGGCCAACACAATCTTCATGTCAAGTCCGCGCCTGTCTCGCAATTGGAGAAGTTCGAGTCTTTGGACCTCAACCCGGTCACTGAGGTCGCAAACCAGTGGCAAGGCCTTTGCAGGATCGCAACGGCAGTTGCCAGAAGGGCAACAGCGCATCACATGCGAGGCGGACACTGCACCATCGGCATGCGGGGTGTAATATGCCGATTTTGAAGCGAATTGGCCAACTCACCCGCTTAAGACATGAACGTGCGTTTTTGATTAATTTTTTTGTTCGATTTTGTTCGTTTGTACTACTTCTACTGTGGAGAACATGCTGTTGTAGTCCCGATTAGGCGTTGCAAAATTACGGTGGTATTGTTGGAACCTGGGCTGCGAGAACGAGGACCCTCTGTAGCTGTCCTTTGACCGCTGCACTTTACCTTGACAGTTTTGTCGCGGAAATGCCCGAGAACGGATGATAAAACACTGCCGCCCACAAATTTTTTTGGGAACTGCACCGTCGAACGAAAAGCATGCCAAACAAAGCAACTACAGAGTGTTCATTATTTTTTTTGGTACAAAAAGTTGCCTTCTGAGGTCAGGTGCCTGTATGATCATTCCTGAAAAATTGTGCGAATGCCTTTTGGCCTCCACACTCGGCTGCACAACCCACCACGTCCGTGCTGCTTACAACGGCACGCTTAATATAGGCACGCATGTCCCGACTTCTGCCGGCACGGCTGAGGGGTTTTGCCTAATACCTGGCAGACTTGGCGTCACCATACGCGACCCACGGCCGGCAACTATCACGAAGGTAAATCTGGGTAGTGCGGGCACCGGCACATACCGGCACATATAAGCAAAAAAAACATAGAACACCCCAAACACCAGGCACTGGCAAAAACCGTTTTTGTTGTTCCATGGTCAGCACATTGGTCCCCAAATACTTTCCGAGGGTATGCTGTGTGGTCATTTGGGGCAGGGCGTCGTGCCAGCGCCGACCCCCCCAGTGGGGGCAAGCGGAATTGCATGCCATAGAGGGCACCAGCTCAGTCTGGGCACGCGCGGGCCTGCGCACCAAACCAGAGCGCTACAGCCCGGTCTGGGCTTGCAACAAATTTTTATAGAATGCAAAAACACACGCCGGATGATGGAATGTCAAAAGGTATACACAAAAAAATGTATAGAAACCTTTCCAACTGGCAAGATGGACATGGATGGCCAGAGATGGATACCAAAACATATGTCCAAAGGCCAACAAACGCCAACAAACATGCCACCTAGAATGCGCAAAAGGCATGGTAAATGGAATGTAGGAAATATGACAAACAAAATGACAATATGAGAACATGGCAGAAACTAGGCCGACTGGAAGGCTGGAATGCCAAAGGGGTTTGGGACAACACAAAAAAATTGAAGAAAATTGTGCCGGATTTGTGTCCGTTGGAATGCACAACAACAAAAATGCCAAAAGGATCTGCCAGTTTGAATGCGACATAATGC